TTGCCAAGATGTCAGGCGCTCTGGCTGCCGGTAAACATTGGACTATGGTGGCTGGTGTCTCTATTTTTTAAGTTCCGTACAATAAAATCGCCAATAACTAGAGCACTTTGATCAGGTTTCTCAGCGGGTGCGCCACTGAGTGGGGAGAACCTGTTTAATGTTTTGATCAGAACGGAAGAGCGGTGTTTTGTCCCGCAACTATGCCGCCTCACAGTCACCTAATCGCCCTGCTGCGGGGGCTCTGCAACCAGAACAGAACAATGTACAGGACTCCCTGAGCTAGTTGCATCCAAAGCCATATCTACAGCCCTCACATTCTTACTGTCCTCAATTAAAGTTTGGATGTGTGAGAGAGAAAAGAAACGGAGCGAGAGAAAAAAAAAAGAAAACCGCAATAGACGCGAATGACAAGCTAACCGGCTAACCAATGCTAATGCGGTGCACTCACGGTTTTAGAATAAAAGCGAACTATCAAATTAATCAGATTAGTTTGATAGATAATATCAGAAATATGGTGGGAATTAAGTTATATTTTATCACTTTAAACAACAGAGAGTGATAGTAAGATAGAGATTCAACAGAAAAGTGAAGCTGCACGGAGCTACAATCACAAACCAGCAGCACAGCAGACAGGAAACGGAAACGGAGATCTCGAACATACATACATTTCATACTCTTCATACATTGCTAATAGAGGAATCCATAATTTATCTTCAAAAGCTTTGTATATATCAATTGGTATTTCATCTGGTCCAGCTGTTTTACCACTCTTCATATTCACTATAGCATTTAAAACTTCTTTACTAGTTAGAGGTTCTTCCAGTTGTCTTTTGGCTTCACTGCTTATAGAAGGCTAAGACTATCTAAAAATAAATTTTGCTCCATACTCTGTTCTGCAGATTCTGCAGTATATAACAATAGGAAGAATTTAGAAAAAGTTTCTTTAATCTCCACTGGATCTGATTTCAGATTACCAGCTGTTGTATAAATATTATTTATTGCTTTACTTGATTGTAATTGTTTAATCTGCCATGCTAAAAGTCTGCCTGACTTCTCTCCATACTCATAAAATGCTTGTTTGAGAAGCATTAAGCTGGCTTCAGCATTTGCTGTAGATAGTTCATTATACTGCGCTCTTAAAATGAGCAGCTCCTACTTAAGTAGGCCTGAATTTGACAGATCTGAATATATCTTCTTCTAATTTCCGAATTTTTTCTTCTAGATTTTGTAATTCCAATTTCATTTTATTATTCACGGAGCATGTATAGCTTATCATTTGGCCCCTGATATAGGCTTTAAAGGTCCCATGGCATGAAAATTTCACTTTATGAGGTTTTTTAATATGAACTACAGTACTAGGGACCACTTAGGCCTATATAAAAGCATCCAAAAAGCAGCATGTCATGGGACCTTTAAAAGCTTCCCATCTTACAGATGCAGATGTTTCTTTCAAATTAGTTTTAAAGAATAAATCAATATGAATATCAATGAATTCCATACATTTTAAATCATGAAGCCACCTTGGGTGTAACCTCCATATGCGAGGCCCCTTAATCATTTTTGAAACATTATATAAAAGTTTTACTGGACCATGGTCAGAGACAATATACTCATAGGAGCAATCAAAAATAAGATGGAATAATTTATTTGAAATCAAAAAGTAGTCTATTCGTGAATGTGATTTTAGTGATGAACTATAACATAAATATTCAGTTTTATTGGGATATTTCCTCCTCCATGGATCACATAAATCAAGTTCCTTTATAAAACTATAAAGTGTCTTTCTGCTCTGTGTGTTGGCCATGTCTTTACTATTGTACTGATCTAAGTATGGGTTTAATGTTACATTAAAATATCCTCCTATAATTAAATAACCAGGTTGGGAGGCCAAGATTAAGAACAAGTTTTCAAAAAATTCTGAACTGTCAGAGTTGGGCCCATACACATTTACAAGGGTAATAGTGTTATCTATAAGGAAGCCTTGAACAAATACATTTCTGCCTGACTTACCTGAAATTACCTTTGATATTTTAAATGGAATGGCTATGAATCAGAATCATTACTCCCCTTGAGTTGGATGTGTATGAAGCAGAGATCACTTGACCCGGCCATCTTCTACGTACTTTTAGTAGTTCGCTAAACCAAAGGTGGGTTTCTTGTAAAGGCACAATAGATGCTTTAAATTGTTTAAGTCTAGACATGACCTGTTTTAACTTTGAAAGTTTACCTAGCTTTACCTGAGATTCACTTGACATGTTTAACAACATTAGCTGTCCATATCTCTATGATCATGCCAAAATAAATAAATAAAATTGCCCATGACAAAAGACAGAAAAAAAAGGAAATTAGAATTTGCATAGCATGGCTCATAAATGCCCTTAAATAGAACAAAGTGGTATTTACCCCCTTTTGAACAGAACAAACCGGCATTTACCCCTTTCCCACCATACTGCAAAGATTCTTCAGCAGGCTCGGTTGGTCCCACAACTAGGAACACATCCTTGGACAGCAGTACAAGACCCATTAGGCACTGACCTAACCACAGACAACCCGATGTAATTAAACATTAAGTATAAACAAACATTTTCCCACAAATATTCGTTGAACTGACTCAGTCTCTTGAGTTACATTTTAATATGTTTGTCTTAACTTTAACAGACAAATGTACACTGTTAACGTTCACATTATATATTAATTACCTTGATTATGATGACAGCATTGAGAAATAAAACTACAAAACTTTCAGCCAGTTAGTTAAGATCTTCTCATTGCTCTCCTGACGCTTCTCCAAGTTCCTCTATGCACTTCTGTACATCACCTGCCGTCTCACAGATCCTCCACTGGCCCTTATGCAGGAAGCTCAGTTTGGATGGATACACAAATCTGTATGGAATGTTCAGAGCCTGGAGCCGTTTCTTCACATCGTCGAAATTGCTTTCATTGTTTCCTTACCGCTACTGAAGGAAAAACATCCGGGAAAAACATCACTTTTTCAATCAGGTTTTAAAAAATATAATTCAACAGAGACTGCACTCTTGAAGGTTCTAAACGATGTGTTAATAGCTGCCGATTCTGGGGATTGTACCGTACTTGTGCTGCTAGATCTGAGTGCGGCTTTTGATACGGTAGATCATGCTATCCTTCTTGCTCGCTTGGAGCATTGTGTTGGTATCCAAGGAACTGCCTTTTATTGGTTTAAATCTTATATCTCAAATAGGAAGTTCAGTGTTAATATTGGGGAATATTTGTCGGAGGCCGCTGTTTTATCTTGTGGTGTTCCCCAGGAATCCATTTTAGCTCCCATTCTTTTTTCGCTATATTTGCTCCCATTAGGGTCTATGTTCAGGAAACATGGGTTGTCGTTCCACTGCTATGCAGATGACACTCTAGTCTATTTACCCTTAAAACCTAATATTGATGAGTTGGAATCACTCAGGGCCTGCCAATCTGACGTGAAAGCTTGGTTATCTTAAAATTTTCTCAACTTTAATGAGAATAAAACTGAAATCATAGTTTTTTGTTAATCTGATTCTCCTAGTCAAATAACCCTAGGTAATTTAACACTCTCTGCAAAGCCTTGGATAAAGAACTTGGGTTTTGTTTGCGATGATGGTTTAAAATTTGACAAGCAGATAAACACTGTGGTCAAATCCTGTTTTTTCCAGCTCCGTCTTATAGCTAAAGTAAAACATATTTTATCTTTTAATAACTTTGAGAAAATAATTCATGCATTTTTAACATCAAGGCTAGATTACTGCAATTCACTGTATTACGAGATCAGCCAATCAGCTTTATCCCGGTTACATATGGTACAAAATGCGGCGGCAAGACTTCTGACATGTACTAAAAAACGGGACCATATTACTCCTGTGCTACGCTCTTTGCACTGACTGCCTGTACGATATCGTGTTGATTTAAAATTCTTCTCCTAGTATTTAAATCTCTAAATGGCTTGGCCCCTCCTTACCTTTCGGATTTACTGACAGAACATCGTCCAGTTGTGTCTCTCCGGTCATCTAATCAGAGATTGCTACGTATTCCGAAATCAAACCTGAAAAATAGGGGTGACCGTGCCTTTTCAGTAGCTGCTCCCAGATTATGGAATGCGTTACCCTTCAGTATTAGATTTATTCCCTCCATATCTGTTTTTAAATCTAAGTTAAAAACCTACCTTTTTGAACTGGCATTTTGTCAATGATGAAATTAATTGCACTGTTTGTTTGTTACTGAATGAATATGAATACTGAGTGATTTTTTTACTGTATTTAATATGCTATACTTGATTTTGTTATTTATATATATTGATGTTTTTTAACTGTCTCTTGAATTGTTGTAAAGCACATTGGTCAACTGTTGTTGTGTTTAGTTGTGCTATAGAAATAAAATTGACATTGACAGACCATACGAATAAGAAATTCTCAATTGAGAAATAATCTTTTTTTTTTTTTAACAGATCATTGTTTCATTTGTGAACATAGCCTTTCGAGGAATTCTTTAAGACCAAGTGGAATCCTCTGCCGGCTGGTTGCACCCACTTCACAGCGAACGGGACTCACGCTAACCACAATTCCCTTCACTGTCCGCACTTTGATTTCGGCAAATCAGTTTGGGCGAATGCAAACTTGATTATTGATCATGAGCACAACATCCAGCTAGACAAGAAAACATGCAATCTACCTGAGGGGATAAATCTTTCACTATTGTAAGTTAATGTTAGAGAAAAAAAAAAAGCATTTTTAAAATTTTAACTTCTAGCGTATTCTTAAACTTAGACCTCATTATTGAAGCACAAATTCAAGCACCAAAAGCAGCCCACGCTCTCTAAGTTCTCTTTAATTAAAAATATGCATTTTCATTCATTCATAGTCTGTATTGTTACAGGCAATTTTAAAGGTAGTGAAGATGTTGTTGGCGATCCTGAATGTAATGTTTAGTTATATTTTATATAGTTTTATGGTTATGTGGTGAGCCTGAGTATAGTTTTACACATCATCCCAGTCTATTCTGTATCGTTAGTGATATGCAGAGGCGGGCTCTTGCACATTAATCTGACAATAAATGTGGCACACCCAGTTTTTCTGATGCACACCCAGAGTCTCTTTTCTGGCTACGCTAGTGATTGAGAAAAACTACCGTCAAACACACTGAAACTCAAAGATATTCATGACAAACTGCCAAAATAAAAGTTTGGACTAACTTGAAGAATTTATGACAGAAATATATTACTATTTTATACTAAAATGTACTTTACAAAGTAATAATAACAATATATTTTTAAGGTAAATCATACAAACGAGATATTTTTCAAGTTGTTTGTTTTGCAGCATCTTATTTGAACAATAAATAAAACAAAAATAAAAAAATGCAATGTTTGTTTTAAAAGAATTGTTATATTTTCATTTGATTACATTTTAAAAGTTCAATTAAATTGTTAATGTTGCATTAATTAATTTCATTAGCCACCATTTTTATTCACTGCATTTTTGCATTTTATTCACTAATCACCTGCAAAAACCAGGCATTTTATGAACTAAAATTGATTATTTTCCATATTGTCTAGTGTTGTTTTAGACCCCACTGACTTTTATTGTTGTAAAGCACATTGGTCAACTGTTGTTGTGTTTAGTTGTGCTATAGAAATAAAATTGACATTGACAGACCATACGAATAAGAAATTCTCAATTGAGAAATAATCTTTTTTTTTTTTTAACAGATCATTGTTTCATTTGTGAACATAGCCTTTCGAGGAATTCTTTAAGACCAAGTGGAATCCTCTGCCGGCTGGTTGCACCCACTTCACAGCGAACGGGACTCACGCTAACCACAATTCCCTTCACTGTCCGCACTTTGATTTCGGCAAATCAGTTTGGGCGAATGCAAACTTGATTATTGATCATGAGCACAACATCCAGCTAGACAAGAAAACATGCAATCTACCTGAGGGGATAAATCTTTCACTATTGTAAGTTAATGTTAGAGAAAAAAAAAAAGCATTTTTAAAATTTTAACTTCTAGCGTATTCTTAAACTTAGACCTCATTATTGAAGCACAAATTCAAGCACCAAAAGCAGCCCAGGCTCTCCAAGTTCTCTTTAATGAAAAAGATAAGGAAGTGGGACACGAGTGGCCATATTGCCTACTCTCCTCCTTTGTAATGGCCCATTCATTCATATGTGATTAATACCCCCATATTCACTTATTGTAGGGGTGACAGATAAAGATGGGACAGTAACGACAGTCGTGCCCACTATTTCCTTCACAAGGGAAGTGCAATGATGCTTCCACCATACTCCATGTATTAGAGGGACAACAGAAACGAAAGTAGGGCACTACTAACGACCATGGCCACTTTCCTCTTTTGGCAGAACATGCAAATGTAAAAAGAATGAACAGAATATACAAATGTGGTTACATAGGAAGCACACTTATACTGACTACAGTCTAAGTACTGAAGAAGGCAACACAGGAATATGTGCTACACGGGAAGCACCCACATCCTGGAGGGTGCGAGAACTGTAATTGCACATTTCTGTACATGTGCAATGACAGAAATAACATAATCATATATGATGCATGGAACAGTGTTAATTTTGATTTAGTCTTAGTCTTTTGTCGTAATCATACTTTAGATTTAATACTGTCACATGGAATTGATGTTAATGGCATTGAAATAATACAGCAGAGTGATGATATCTCTGATCATTATCTAGTCTCGTGTATACTCCATATAGCTAAAACTGTAAATTCAACTCCTTGTTACAAATATGATAGAACCATCACTTCTACCACAAAAGACTGCTTTGTAA